GTGAAATTTGCAGGCAAATGGATGGAACTAGAAAAAATCATCCTGAGTGAGGTAACCCAAACCCAGAAAGACAGTCATGGTATGTACTCACTCATAAGTGGATTCTAGATATAAAATAAAGAACAATCAGACCACAGCCCATAGAACCATAGAGGCTATATATGTAGTATGGAGGTCCCTAGGACGACTGTGGCTTATAATAAATTTCAGTTCTACTATATTATTGGAAAAAATAGCCAAATGAATGGAAACACATGAACTATGAACCAAAGGCTGAGTGGCCCCCAACTGGATCAGGCCCTCTGAATAGGTGAGAAAGTCAATTGGCTTGATCTGTTTGGGAGGCATCTAGGCAGTTGTACCAAGTCCTGGGCTGGTTGCATGACTTAGCTGTTTGAAACATGGGACTTATACAGGGACACTTGGCTCAGTCTGGGAGGAGGGGACTGGACCTGCCTGGACTGAGTCTATCAGGTCGATTCCAGTCCTTGGGGGAGACCTTGATCTGGAGGAGGTGGGAATGGGGAGTTGGCTGGGGGGAAGGGGAGGGGGCAGGAAGGGAGAGAACAAGGGAATCTGAGGCTGTTATGTAGAACTGAATAGTATTGTAAAATAAAAAAAGAAGAAGATAAAGGAGAGTGGGATGGGAGGTGACTAAAATTAATTACATATAAAATTAATTACAAATAAAAAACTGAAAATTAAAAAAGAAATTAATTGCCAGAAAAATGAAGAAAGTCCAGATCATCACTGAGTTTAAGGTGCACACCTGTATAGACTGAGTCAGGTCAGATGTGAAATAATTTCAGATTTTTATTCACTGGGCCTAGATTGCCTGTAGGATCCTGTCTGTATCCCAAAGACTGAAACAGAGAATCACACTGACGGGACTTCTCTCAGCAGAACAAACTCTCCAGGTTCCCCCAAGATTCCTCAGGGTCTAACCATTATGACAATGGCCGAGTCATTTATGCTCCTATAAGTGAAAATCTGTCTGGATACAAATGAGCATGTGTACTTATAAATAAAAACAGGGATACCCAGAAGTGATTTATATTTTCTTATGTCAAGATTTGAGTTTGTTTTGTGTTTTTTTTTATTTTTGTGTTTGAAAAGTGAAACAGTTATATTTGGGGGAAGCTCAAAATCCCAAAGGAAACAGCCTTAGCCACCCTGTGCACCTGCTCCTGGGCTGAGCCTGAGTTCCTGTGTGCTGTGCGCCCCCTGCTGGAGATGAGCTCCAGTGCTCTTCCTGAGCACACTGCAGGGAGTTTAATGTTCCTCAGTGTGTTCATCACAGTAATACGGGGCTGTCTCTCTACTAACACAGAAGTCAGCCTTGAGGACAGCTCTTCCTTAGATGTGTTTCTGGAGGTGGAGATGAAGCTGAAGAAGAATGAGTTGTTTTCCGTGACTTCATAATATCCTCTTTCTCCCAGTAGTACAGACTCTTTTCTAGGGCAAACCCAACACCAGTATGTATGAGAGTGTGATGGAGTAACCAGGGGCAGTGCCGGTAAGGGCCACGTCTCTGCGGGCTTCACCAGGTCAAGTGTTAACACTGGAAGTAGATCTTAGAGACAAGGAGAATTGGCCCTGTCACTCACCAACAGTGACAAGGTCTCCAGGTTCCCTAGCAATTCCTCAGGGTCTAAACATGGTGACAATGGCAGAGTCACTTATGATACTTTAAGTGACAATCTGCCTTGTTAAAAAAAAATCAACATACGTTCTCATAAACAAAGCATGCACAGAAAGGATTTATATTTGGACATGTCAATGTTTGGTTTTTTTATTAACAGACCAAAGAGTGACCCATGAGTGACAAACAGACAGGGATACGGAGAACCTGTCACTAGGCTCATGAATTGACCCAGCAGTCTTATCTTCTAATCACACTTCTGATTGTACTGCAGACAGGGTATCAGGAGTGGGAAGGCTGTGAATAGGGAATCAAGGAATAGTCATAAATTCCAAACCTCTCTTCTCAGTTCTGCCAAGAACATGAACTGGCATTTGAAATAAATTCTGTGAAGTGAAAATAACAGAGGAAATTATCTTCCCAATAAGAATCATATTCAATTTTTTTCAGTTTTTATTTGTTTATATTTTGTTGTCTTACTGAAATACATTGATTTATGCAATGTATTCTGATTATAGGTTCCCCTCCCCCAACTTCTCCCTGTTCTTCCTGTCCTCTTATCACACCAGAGCCACACCCTTTCTGTCTCCCATTAGAAAAAAAGTCCTATAAGGATTAATGATAAAAGAACATAAGATAAATAAAAAACAAACAAACCAGAGTAGGAACAAACAAACAAACAAACAAAGAACTAAAGAAAAAGATACAGATGCAAAGACACACACATTTCCACACTCAGGAATCTCATGAAAACCCAAAAGTGGAAGCCATAATATACACACAAAGAACCTGTATGAAAAACAAACAAACAAACAAATGCAATGCCCTGCTTTAATGTTATGAGACAAAGAACTACAAAGATATCCATGAGTTGATTTTGTTGGCCTTCTACTGTTGGATCTGGGGCTATCCTTGAGAAGGGTCTATTTCTCCAGTGAGACTGCCTTGAAGAAAAACAATTTTCCATTTGCAAGTGGCTATCAGAATTTCCATGTGATCACAAACATTTTCTCCAAAACATTGACCCAGTATTGGCAGAAGCATATGCTCACATTATCACCAACATGGGAAAGTCCGTGTCTTTGTTGTCAATTTAAAACTGCTCACTCTCTGAGTCTTGGAGGCAGATTGACCAGGAAATTTCTGAGTATAGTGAGAATGAAGAAGCCAGATCAGGAGCTGAGAATCCACAGTTAAGCACACAGGAAGGACACTGCCCAGACCACACAGTAAGTCATCCCTGAGCTCCAGATGAGGGGCTGAGCACAGAGTTTAGTGCACAGAGGTCAGAACTAGAATTACCTAATTAAACAGAGAAACAGAAAACACAATGATGAGATGCAGTAATGGAAAGAATTTTATTACCAATTCAATTCTATCACTTCTTAGCCTTATTCATACAGTCCTCTAGAAAAGGAGAGGGGGTTGGCCAACTCAGAGTTGCTTACCTGTGACTGAGCCTGGCCCTCCCTTCCACTTGGTTCCCTCTGAATTACTAACACTGTTCCAATCAAGGGTCTGCCCAAACCTCAATATGAGGGGAAAGTCTATCTGAGGTTCCTGAGCTTCCCCAGCAGCTGATCCTGGTGACCACAGAGAATCACTCCTTCCCTGATAGGTGCCTTACTCAAGTTGTTCAGGTGAGACAAGGACATATATTTGTTTTAAGAAAGTCAAATAAAACAATGCCTTTTTAAAAAACTTTTTAGAGACATGGTCTATTCCTACAGTGTATGATTTCAAAGAAGATCCCCAGAAAAGCACCAGATAGAGAGGGTGCCCAGTTAACACAGAACAGTTATGTCTGCACCTGGGCTTTATGTGTGCTGAGCGCCCCCTGCTGGTCATGGCAGGGAGGTTTTTACCTGGGCTCATAGTGAAGACGCCTCAGTGTGTGTCTTGCACAGTAATACGAGGCTGTGTCCTCAGTTTTAAGACTGTTCACTTGCAGGTAGGCCATGCTTTGGGAATCATCTCTGGAGATGGTGAATCTGTCTTTCACCGAATCAGCATAATATGTTTGAGAATTATAATCTTTACTTCTTATACTGGCAACCCATTCAAGACCTTTCCCTGGAGCCTGGCGGATCCAGTGTATGGTAAAGTCACTGATGGTGAATCCAGAGGCTGCACATGACAGTTTCAATGCTGCTTTAGGCTGCACCAATCCTCCTCCAGACTCAACCAGCTGCACCTTACAATGGACACCTGCAAACAGAAAGGATTCTGATGAAGAAACTGCCACACATGCCTACTGTCACTCCTACTCATGTCTTTTCATGCACCCAGTGCCGTTTTATATCCATAAATTACCTTTTAAAAGAACAACCAAGAAAACCCAGTGCAGCCCCAACCACATGTTGGTTGTTCTGTTTCCAGTGCTGACCACTGAATGGGAAGACAGGGCTAGAGTCCTCTGCCTGAACTGCAGGGTCAGGGCAGGGCTAGTTTTCACAAGCAGAGGAAGGCTGTATTTGCATATCTTCTTGCATATCTTATGATCTGTTGTGTGAGCCTTTGGGACAGCAATTAGGAGTGCAAATGCCAGAGAGAAAATGAAGTAACAACATGACCATAATTTCATTAAAGTATTATTCATTATGTTTCTAATAAAACTTCAACCACCTTTATTTTTGTGCATTTTTACATGCACCGTTTACTACTTATCTTACCAGATATTATACAATAAATTCATAGAAGTTTATAAAGAAAAAATTACAATTTGATAATTTGAGGAGAACTAATATAAAGATCAATGAATAATAAAGAACATATTAAATTAAAGTAACAAAATTAGCCTGGTTGTGGTGGCACACACCTTTAATCCCACCACTTAGGAGGCAGAGCCAGGCAGAACTCTGTGAGTTCTAGGTCAACCTGGTCTACAAAGTGAGATCCAGGACAGGCATCAAAATTACACAGAGAAACCCTGTCTCAAAAATAAATAAATTAATTAATTAACTAATTAATTAATTAACAAAATTGGGCTGGGGACACAGCATAGTGAAAGAGTGTAACAGACACAAGGGCCCAAGTTTTATCTCCATTCTTGAAAAATCAAAATATATTATATAAACACTAATACTATCTGCTGTGGGATGTCTTTCTGTATGCTGTGAATATGTGTTGCTTTGATTGGTTGATAAATAAAGCCATTTGGTGCATGGCAAGGCAGCTTAGAGGCAAGAAGGAAATTCAAGCAGACAGACAGGAAGAAGAAAGGAAAGAGGAAAGAAACACCAGCTGCAACCAGGAGGAGCAAGATGTGAAAGTGCTGGCAAGCCACGGCCATGTGGCAAATTGTAGATTAATAGAAATGGGTTAAGTAATAGGAACTAGTGAGCCAGAAGCCTGAGCCATTAGAACACACAGTTTGTAAATAATATTAAGCCTCTGAGTGATTATTTTATAAGCAACTGTGGGAGTGTGGGTGAGAGAGATTTGTCCTGGCTGCAGGCTAGGCAGGACACAGAAAAACTTCCAACTACAACTATCAGAGATTATTCTTTGATAAAAAATAAAATCATATTAAACTCACATTCATGTATATGGTGCATGGATTTGTTAGTAGTGTGTTAGTTAACATCCTTGGGACTCATGCTCTTTTTATTTTAATGTCCTCAACTAAGTATATGTTCCTTTCCTGTGGTATCCACAGGAAGGAGACGATTCTGTTACCTGGTCTGTAATGCCATGTCTGTATGTCCTCCCATCTCTGCAAACCCCCTGAGAATAGAGGACTTACTTGGTGATTGTGGAACCAGTCGAAACACGAGGACACTTGGTATAACAACTCCTATATTAGAAAAGAATTTTGGGACTAGCTGTTTAATTGATTAACTAATTCAACTATTAAAGATACTGTGTTCTGGCTAAGAGGTCCTATGGAGTATGACATTATTGTTTCTGTGGCATTTGCAGGGAAGCGACTTTATTTAAAGCAACTAAATGCAGAGAGCTGATGATCTGAAGTCATTTCTGTTTCAAGTCCTTTGATAACCAAATCATTCCTCTGATGGGTTCCATTAATCACACAATGTTATACGTGGGTAAGCAAAAGGAGGAAACTCTGGATAGATGTAGTAACTTGCTGTCCCATTTTTGCCCTGTTACTTAGGGCCCTGAATGACTGAGGTGTGCACATCACCTGCTGACCTGTGTTCCACATGCATCAGGTTGATCAGGTCTGGGGATTTTCTTCTGAGAGAAAGTCTAGCTGATGCACCGCATTCATCAAGGTCTAGAATGTAGATACTGAACTTCTGCTGCATAGCCTCTCTTGAGCTCTATGCTCCTTTGTATATTTATATGATGTCACCTCAATGGCTTTCTTCTCACAAGAATTGCTGGACAATATTCATGAAAATCTGCCCATAGTTGGGATATTGTAATAATCCTTGTAGTTGTAGAACAGACAATAATGAAAACAGATGCACATAAAATTGAATATGGAAGTTTACATTTCTTTAATCATATTTATTAGGAATTGAATGCATTTAAAATATTTTATCAATTCAGTAACCACAGGAATATGCACACAAAACAAATGATGACACTTTCATTTCAGCTAGCCTAGGAAAGTTAAGAGCAAGTGGTCCAGGAAGTTTTCAATGGATGCTTCCCCAGCATGATTTCAGGATCATGAAGCTCACTTGCTCTAGAAAGAAAAACTTGTTCTCACACAAGACACCTGGTGAGTGATCCAGGGTTGTGTTTTGTATCTAGTGACAACAGAAATCAAATTTGTTTTCTGAACATTTGTCTCCCTCCCAACAACACAAAATAGAATTTTTTTCAGGTTCATAGACTTAAACTTTTTAATTTCTCCTGTTTTTGTTAACTTTTTCACATAACACATTATGACAGTACCCCCTCTAACTCCTCCAGATCCTCCCTCCGTATTCACCAATCTCTAGCATGTTTATGTTTTCTATATCTGTCTTTCTCTCTCTCTCTCTCCCTCTACTTCACTATTCTTTCTTTCTTATTACTAATGGGTCCTGATTAATGATACACTGGTTTACCACCTCCCATATTCTTTATTTTTAATTTAATTTAATTTAATTTTACAATACCATTCAGTTCTACATATCAGCCACGGGTTCCCCTATTCTCCCCCCTCCCACACGCTCCCCTTACCCACAGCCTACCCTCATTCCCACATCCTCCAGGGCAAATCCTCCCTCCCCCCCAAAGAGGACTGCAATCAACCTGGTAGACGCAGTCCAGGCAAGTCCAGTCCCTTCCTCCCAGACTGAGCCAAGTGTCCCTGCATAAGCTCCAGGTTTCAAACAGCCAACTCATGCAATGAACACAGGACTTGGTCCCACTGCCTAGATGCCTCCCAAACTGATCAAGCCAATCAAATGTCT